AAAGTTAGAATCACTTGTGAGTTGTGAATGTTATTTTTACATTCAATACCCTTGTATACCTAAGGCCAAAGCTAAACTAAAAGGGTATTTTAGTGTTCTTTTACAAATCATAAAAAATAAAATTAATACATGGGCAAAAATTCTCTCTCTAACTCTCTTGGCATCACCCTGTCTAGGGGTGGCAATGAACTCACCAAACCGGGGACCTAAAGGGTAGACCCGACCTCGAGTTTGAGTATGGGTCCAAATTTTAGATCCGAATACTATTTGAATCTGGGTTTGGGTCCAGTTGGACCGCGTGTCGTAATAGGGTAAATGATGAAAAAAAAAAGGGGCAAAATAAAATAAAATAATAAGCTCATATTCATAGGGTGGCAATAGATCCAACCAAACCCGATGGGCTGACCTAGAACTTGACAGGTTTGGGTATGAGTCCAAATTTTAGACCCGAATATTATTCGGGTCTGGACCCATACCCACACCTGATCATGTCTCTCATCGGCCCTTCTCTCTCTCATCTACCTATCTGCTCATTGCCATCCAATATTTATCTCTCTTCATCTCTTTGCTCATGCTACCCATCTCTCTCTCTCTCGTTTTGCTTCTATCTGACACCATGGTTCCTATGTCCAACAAAAGTTCAAGAACAATCAGATGAGGTTAACAACATTTGGAAAGCAAGAAGAGCATTTTATTATGGTGGGTCAAAAGGGCCACAACCTCTCTCAATCCAAGGCAAATTTCTCTTTGATAAAAGTACATGCTGCCTCCATTTCCCCCATAGCGATCGGCGGCTCCATATGTGTTGTGGCTGTGCCATAAAACTGCTCACTAAAATTGTGCTTCAGATGCATAGGAAAGAGAGAGGAGCCAGCTTAGCTATGGGAAGATTTACAGTGATGTGTGCCTGAGAAAGATAGATGGGGTGGCTCAACAATGAGATTCAAGTGGATTATAATAGACAGATGGCTCGATGAGAGAGAGAAGAAAGAGAGATATGGGGGACTGAATTGATAAGAAGATTTAAGGTGGATGAGAGAGAAATGGGCAGATGAAAACGAACCGGAGACATGAAGGTAGAAAGTGAGAGTAACAAGAATGATAATCATCTAAAATATACGATCTTGATAAAGATTACCATGGTAAGGATTATCATGATGTATTCATGATATGGATTACCGTGATATATTGTACCCTCTTTTCATATTGGTAAAGATTTGAAGTAATCAAATCCTTGATTGAGTGAATCAAGTATAAGTACATAACTATTATAAATAAAACCCACATACCTCGCTATTGGTGTGGAGAATTTTGTAGAAATATTATGTCGTCTAAAATTTGGAATAAGTAACTGTAAACCATCACCAACGCCAATGATCACAACCAAAAAATTATCTGTTAGAGATGATGATCATGTTCAAGATAAAAAAAAGTAAATAAGTCTTGGCCTACAATACCTTACATTCACTCGACCAGATATCACCTATGTTGTCAATCAAGTATGTCAATTTATATGCATGATCGTCATAAGATGTACCTCATAGCAGATAAAAAGATTATCCGATATGTAAAAGGTACCTTGGGTGATGGTCTCTTCTTTTCTATTGGTGAAAGATAGGTTAACCTTATTGTCTATTTTGATGCTGATTGGGCTGAAATCCCGATATAAGAAGGTTAGTATCAGAATTTTATATTTTTTTTGTAGGATCTCTTGTATCTTAGAATAGTAAAAAAACAAATGACTATTTCACGCTCAAGTTTAGAAGCAGAATATCAAGTAATGTCTTCCACATCTACTAAAATCACTTGGTACCACTACATTCTATCAGAATTGGGTATTAGAATTCAACGTGCAATTCGTCGTTGTGATAATTAGAGTGCAATAAAGCTTGTATTTAATCCTGTTCTTCATGCTCAGACCATATACATTGAGTTGATTATCATTTTATTCGAGTTCAACCACAGAACAACTTGCTGATATATTTACAAAAGGTCTTCCTACATCTCAGTATGCTTCAATAGCAAGTAATTCGTTCATGTTTCACATCGACAATAGTTTGAGGGGGAGTAATAAGATTGGTAATTATCTAAAAAGATATGATCTTAATAAGGATTAACATGATATATTCATGATAAAGATTACTATGATATATTGTGACCTCTTTCCATATCCGTATAAATTTAATTTAATTTCATTCTTGATTGAGTCAATCAAGGATAAGTACATAACTATTATAAAAAGAACCCACATCCCTCTTTATGGATGTGGAGAATGTAACAAAAATATTATGTCCTCTAAATTTCTTCAGAGAGAGAGGGTTATATAAGGGAGAGAAAATGGGTGGACGTGAGTGAGAGAGAGAGAAAGAGAGGCTTTTAAACTTGGGAGGGAGAGATATGGCAACGAGAGAAGCAAATGATAATGTGGTTTGAGAAATTTATGTACGAACTGGGTTTTTATAACATTATAACAAAATGACTTGAAAATAGTTCGTTATTACTTGGAAGGACAGATCCCCAATTTTTTTTATTTTTTTCAAGTTTACTCTCGGTTTGATGTTTGCAACATCTTACCACATGTAACCCCCAATAATTGAGGTATTTCTTGTATTCCATTATCTTCTTAAGATGATGATTTTAGTTGGGGGAGTAAAAATTTGAATATAAAAACCTTGGAGGCAATAATTTCGAACATGTGTTTGTCACCTTGAGGATGTTGCCAGTGGACTAGAGAGAGAGAAACCGCGTTTGGGTTTTCCCTCTCTTCTGAAACCTCCTTAGATTCATGTACTCCTGATGATGCAGAGCGAGAACTATGAACCAGACTCATGCTCTCTTCCAAACCAGATAAAGAACCCGGTGTTATCTCCGAATTCTCCAGTGAACTAGTAGTAGGACTTATGGTGGACTCCAAATTCTCCATCAAAGCAACATAAGTCATCAAAATATTTATTGAATCAGTCAAAGA